CTATCTTGTTGAACTTTGCCATATAAAGTAGTTTTTTTTTTTATCATTGACTATTGTTTTTATTATTTCAATTCTATATTTCACTATATATGATCTAGAATTTGTGATGCAAATGGATATTTTATTACCAAAATAATATGAGGTTAATTTAATTATTTGAGAAAATGGAAAAATTTTATTATTCAATGAAAATGGTTAAAAATATTTTTGATAGGAATTGACATGCCGGTTAAACCATCTAATCACTGGTTGAACCATTGACATGTTGACCCATTGCATTGTTCGAGTCGACATCCGTGTCGGGTTTGACAACTAGGATAGAAATATTGGCAGTAGACAAATTATAGAGTATAATGATTAGATGATGTTACTGTAATGTTGAATACAAGGATGGAGGGCTCAAATTATGTAAATTTTAATTTGAACAAAAATGTTGAATATTGCCTGAATTATTGACAGTAGACAAACTGTAGAATATAATGATTGGATGATGTTATTGTAATGTTGAATACAAGGATAGAGGGCTCAAATTATGTAAATTTTAATTTGAACAGAAATGTTGAATCTCGCCTGAATTATTGGCAGTAGACAAACTGTAGAATATAATGATTGGATGATGTTATTGTAATGTTGAATACAAGGATAGAGGGCTCAAATTATGTAAATTTTAATTTGAACAAAAATGTTGAATCTCGCCTGAATTATCATTTCTTGTACTGCCTTTTGAATAATATATAATTGAACTTTTAAACAAAGTTATTTTGATTGATTTAAGAAATCACGATTTTGTTTGATGGGTTGTGAATTTGAAAAGAAGTATAAATATCTTTATATATAAAATTCATGACATTTTACAAGTACATAAATAGTAATACTTGTAATAACAAATTCTTGATATTGAAATATTTGAAGTTGTTCGCTCTCTCATTTTAGGCTTTTAGGCAAGTTAATATCGTTTTTAGCTCTGTTTGATAGAATATCTATATTTAGTGTAGATTAAAATTAGATTTTTGTAGGTTTTGATACGAAAAATAACGAAATGTCTGGTTAAAAAGTTGTGAATCTCGTGAAAAGTATAATTAAAATTAATTATTGACCTTGACTTAAAATTTTAATAGAGGCAATATATATAAAAAGGAAAGAAAGAAATAGTATATTGTTCAAAGCATTTTTATTCATTAAAATTACGGTAAATAAATCACGTTTCCTTTTATGTGCAACTGTCATCTTTTGTGTATATTCATCTTCCAGTAGTTGAAGAGAACTTACGTATGAGTGAGAGAGTGTTTATTCTAGGGGTATTAAAGGAGTCTTATAAAATATGTGGTTGAAAATAAATTTGAGATATAATAAATGTAGGATCAAACATGGGTTTAATTTCATAAACTACATGAAACATGAAAGCAATCTTCTTCAAATAATCTTAAAAAATGATCATATAATTGAAAGTTGAGATATTGGTGTTCTTCTTCAAGAGCATCATTATTGTAACGCCCAGATTTTCACAAATATTGAAATGTTACCAAAAACTCACTTTTCTTTGTATTAAATGCGGAATGATAAAAAATAAATTTCTTTATAAAAAATTATTGGAACATTCATAAATCTAAATTAAATCATTGAATCTGTATTTAAAAAATAAATAAACACCTAACTAACTAATTAACATGTTTTTGAACAAATTAAACTAACTAATAAATTTAAATGCAGAAAAACTCAATGTGCATTTTTCCTTTTTTCGATCTACTTGATAGTTCGCATCACCATCTTGCCACAGATCTAATCGATCCGCACTAATTTGTAAAATTATTGTAAGAGTGAATATTTAAAAATACCTATAAAATACGTGCAGTTTTCATACATAATTATATATGACAAATAAATAAACACTTCATTCCTCTTTTCTCTTATGGAGTATATTGGTGACAAAGCAAAACACTTATCTTAGATTCTCTTAAATTCTCGAAAGATTTCACATCTCTTTCTAAAGAACCCGAATGTCCACTGACAGTTCATGCATATTTAATTGAATACATAAAAGCATAACGAAACAAACATTTGCACAAAAGTATTTTACCTCGATTTTGAAAGGATTGAAAAGAAGATTAAATCTTGTGTGTAAAAATTTTCTTATTATTTTTCAATACTTTTTTCCTCTCCCCTTTCACTACTGTGGCTCTCTTTATTTTCTGTGATGAAATAATGAGAATTCTTATGATATTTATAATTGAAATTCTCAATTGAGTTTGTATACAACTATAATTGAAAAACTATGTAATACAAGGAATTTGGATAAAAATTGATTTCAAATAATAGAATTTGAATTGTATTCAAGTAATATTTTCATATCAAATAAAAATCACATGGGTAGGAACTAAAAGATGAATTTTTTTTTTACTTAATTAATATTGTAAGCACTTACCAACTCTATTCATCTATTATTTTTCATCAATACATTATTTAAAAAAGCGTTTTCCTCATAACGGGGCTCAAACAAGGGCTAAAACTAATTTTTGGATATGTAAATTAAAAATCAAAAGAATAACAACCCTTTTCTTTTGGATGGAGAAGAAGAATATTTCAATTGGCTAGAAATTTTTGTCTGCTTTGAATAGAAAGAAAAATAACTTTTTATAACTCAATTGGTTAAATTTTCTTGTGATAACATTTTATAACTTAGAAAGTAATAAAACGGATCCAAAATTTTAACTAAAATTAAAATACATAAATTTGTATTAAGTTACTTATTAACAATAAAGAATTATTTCAAAAAAGTAGCCCTAACTTAAAAATAAAAGGAAGAAAGTTACCAAATATGTTTGACGGCAGAGCTTTTATTTTTGAGTCACTTTATTTTTTTCTTATGATTGGACAAACATATTCTTATAACCAAAAATAGTCATAGTCTTTTTGTAGCAACGAGATAATAACCTCAACCTCTAGATATAGACCCACTGTTAGCTTGTATTAATATGTTATATGGTGAATCCAATAATTTATATTAAGCACTTTCTAGTTTTGATTCTTGAGAATTACTTCTCTTCCCCATTTATTTTCATTTATAAAATTTTCAAAAAAAAAAAAAAAAAAAAGAAGGAAAAATTAAAATCATCTTTCACAATTCTCCATATATTTTCCTACGTTCACAAAGGACAAAACATTTGCCAAAAAAACCTTTTATTTGCAATAATTTTGAATCCGAAAGTAGAGGTTAAGATAAATTTTCTAAAATTAATAGTTAATCATACTTGCTTTTTTTTGAGAACCTTATAAAAAAGCATAATCATGACAGAGAAAGTATAACACAATTAATCACTTGTCAACTAATGACAAGTTTCGAGACGACGTAGAGAGGTGACGGGAGCGGCAAGGGGATCACACATCGTGAACTTTTCATTTCTTCTTAATCATTCAGCATGGATGCTTAGTCAAAGTAGCGCGAATAGTCAAATTCTAGTTGAAATGAAATCTTTAAGGAAAACCAATATGGCCTAATGGCTGATCAAATTCCATTTCTAAAATGGCATTATCTTGACTAGGGCTGGACATGGTCCGATTCGGTTCGGTTCTCGTTAGAATCGAATCGACCCGAAATTTTCGGGTATTTAATAAGTGGAACCGTCGGGTCCAAATTTAATTACGGAATCGTTCAGGTTCGGTTCCATTCGGTTCGGTCCGGTTCGGTTCTATTCGGTTCCGTATTATAATTAAAATTTTTAATATATACAAAGTTACGTTAATTTAATTAATGATATATTTAATATTAGCTCTTACAAAATAACGTAGTTCAATTTTATATGTTTCACGTCTCTATTTGCTGAATTCTTCATAAATTTGATTATTAAAATTACAGAAAGAAAAAGATAGCGAGCTCAAAATAATTAAGAGAGATGTTGTAGAGTTTTAATTCGATTTTCTCTCGTAGAAACGACACTACAGTAGAATATCAGATTTGGATAAAATTGAGGTCAATTTGATTAAGTCGATTTTGAACTGAATATTAGAAATAGGAAAATCATATTTTGTGGTTTGAACTAAATTAACTAGTTAACAAATTTATTTAGAAAAAATAAAATAATTTTACTTATTTAAAATAAATTAATTAAAAAAATTACGTAGATTCGGTTCTTCAGGTTTTGGCCTAGAACCGAGAATCGAATCATACCCGTTGATTCTTGATTTAAATACCTGTTCGGGTATTTAACTTGAGAAGAACCGTCGGGTTCGGTTCGGGAGTTTTGTCCAGCCCTAATCTTGACTTGATTGAAACCACGGGGTGATTATAGGTTTGAAATAAATTAAGTTAAATAAATTTATTTTAAAATATATTTAATACATTATCAATTATTATATTTGTTTTAGATATTTATCTATAAAAACTACCACGAATTTTATTAATAACTATGTAAATTTAATCAAGACAAAGATTTTAATTTTTAAGTGTCATCATAAATGGATGACATGACACTATGTTTAAATCGAATTAAGTCACTAATATAAATCTTAATATAAGTTTTTAAAATAATCTAAATCAAACATTTAAAACTGACTAAGAGAATTATATATGTACACGAATTGTTTTTTTCTTAATTAGTCATAATCTATGTATTTTAGTGTTAATATTCAATTTTGGAGAACAATTTCAATTATCCATAATAAAAAATGTAAGTTAGTAAAGTAAGATCAAAGTAGATAATCAGTTTTCACACCCTTTAATTACAAGTCATCGCCGGTCAAAATTTTGTCGATGCAATTAATATTAAACGATTTATTACCTTAATCAATACAATAACAAATTTCTTGACGAATCAATTATGATAATCAGGATTCCACGAACATTTATGCGACGAACAGGGCCTTAAGATAGGGACCCACGATAAAAACTTTTTTTTTTTCAGGGCTTTATGCTTCTGTAAAAGGCTAAAAGCAGAATTCCGGCCACAGTAGAAAAGCTGTGTACTCCCTCGTTTTGATTTTGCTAAACCCACTTTCAGGTTTTCTCTCTATCTAACACGCACACACGCAAAACATGCATGAACAAGATTGCTAATGCTGTAGTTCAATCTCTTGTTGATTCTTGAGTGTAGATTGTGTTTTTTTTTCCTGGGTTTTCTGTAAAGATCATTTCTGTGCTGGTATAAATCTTGCAACAAACGCTCATTGTGAAGTTTAGTGTAGTTTTTAGCTTTTCTTCGAAGTGGGTATTTTTTTTTGTTTTCTGCTTTTAATTTTTACAGAAAATCAAGGATTTTACTGAAGAAAAGGAAAATCTACAGGGTTCTTTAGATACGTTGAGAAGTTGCAAATTCGCGTTGTTTTGCATCTGAGTTTCGACAATGAAGAAGAAAGTTAAGCAAAAGATCATAAACAAGGAAGAAATAGCTGAAGACTGGTGTTTCGCATGCAAAGATGGAGGAATACTCCGTGTATGCGACTACAAGTGAGTTTCTCTGCAAAGAGTTCTGGTTTTTTCCTACATTTAAGTGTTTGGACAGATTTCCCATTTTTGAGACACTGTTTCTTTTGTTGGGTGACGATATGCTTTGGATGAATGACATTTCTGTGTTTTTATAATTCCCTATGCTTATTTTTTTGATGCTTTTGACTTTCATTTTTATTCTAGTTATTAATTAAGCAGGGATTTTGATGATTGTGGTTTGGCAAAATTGGGCTGTTTTCTGGATGTTCTAGGAAGTAATTATATGGTCTGTCCTGTTTTTGACTGTAAACATTGAAGGAGAGGGACAAATTGCCCGGCCCGAAACTTGATGGGTGGATTTTTTACATGGTCCTTTTTTCATGATCAAAATGGAAAGGAATCTGCATATGGAATTTTTAGACTGAAAAAGCCTGCTTTTGTACTAATCAATATAGCCTTTCGGAAGGCCTTTACCGCTCCTTCCCTTTTCCCTTATTACTCGGGACACTGTCCCTATTAGCTGCCTAGGACCCTTAGAGCTCTATGGTTCTGAGTAAATGTACAATGGGGGACCAGGGGGCAGGGAAGTGGGGGCGGTAACAAAGGGAAAGTGGGCAAGGGGAGTGGCTATAATATGAAGGCTTGGGATGTTGTGGTTCTGAAGAAGGAGGAGGAGGAGGAGAGGAGGAGGAGGAGGAGGAGGAGGAGGAGGAGGATTTTCTGACTCCAACTTGGTCCTTCCCAGACAATGACCTCAAAAATTTTCATTAAAAAAGGTTTCTTTGGAGCTGAATACTCTAATTTACTTTTTATTAGAATGACCCTTCTCCACCAATTTTACATTCTCTTTCTCCCATTTCTATCCCTTGCGTCCCTTTCTCCCACTACCATTTCCTCTCCACCTCCCCTTAATGTCACCTCTGCACCCCCTACTTCCATTGTGCTCATTTCTCCCTCCCATTTCTAATATTTCTTAAACCCCATTTTCTTTGCAAACAATTTTTGATGAATAAAAATCGTCAAGATGAAATTTTCTTTGGAATGATGGCAATTTATTGAAGAAAAGGTTAAGTAGATCAAATTAATTTAGATGATTTTCCCAACTATTGTTTATTGGTGTATTGGTGGAATGCGAGACTTGACGAATTTAAGGAACTTTATAGTTTGTGCTGTGATGGCTGTGGTGGTAGGCGACAGGACCAGGGTTGGGAAAAACCATTGAAGAGATGATTGATAAGGGACTGCTATGCTTGAAGGAGTCATTAATTAATGGAAAAGAAAGATAGAAAATGACTTTGAGCTGTTGAGCATTAGATTCTTCCTTAATAATTTGACGTATATGCTATTTTGGAATGCGAAAACATAAGATATTATAGCATGGGATAATTCTTTTTGTAGAAGAGCTTCCTAAGAAAGACACTTGGGCCAACTTCCTCTAGAGGCTCTTCTAATCATATAACCACAAAAAGAATTCAAAAATTTATCCAAATTGTCCAATAGTAGCTTCTTAGTCTCAAAAGTCACATTTTAACTTTTCAGAAGCCATGCTAAACAAGGTCTATATGTGGGGAGAAGGTGGAAGTTGTAGAGGTAGTGAAACGGAGAACGCAAGAGTAAGAAAGCAAGGGAAGGGATAGAACGGCCAATTTACATATTTTATAAATGAAGCTCTTTTCCAATTTTGTCAATTTACCTAGCAAAAAAATAAAAATAAAAATGTCAATTCGATCCTTCTTGAATACGTTACACAACTTGCTTTATATGGTTAAGAGCTCTAGTGAGCTTTGACTAAAATTGTTTTCCATGATAATCTTATTTATTAACTATTTGCTTATGATAACTTGTGTTATTTAATTTCATTACTATTTTTTTCTCCTGAAAAAATAACATTGATATATTCATAAACAAAAACAATTAATAACATTGCTTGGATTGGCATGAAATTGCCCAATGTTAATATAATTTTGATGAACCAAGGAGGCCATCAGTTTAATTGTGCTAAGTTTGTCCTTAAAATAATTTTTGTTTTGGTGACATGGCTCACATGGCAAGTCCAAAATGTTATACACACTTGAATATACCTGCATAATGATTGGACGTGCACATGCAAGTACATTCTATGCATACAAGACAATTTTGAATATTCATTTACCACTTGGTCCCCTTCCATTGTAGTAGGAAGAAGTTAACAAAACTTCAACTTGTTGTATTAAATGATGTATTTAGATGGATGATTGAATCCCATACTCTTTTATTTATTTATTTATTTTTTACAATAGAAGGAGATTTTTTTTTCTTGGGGTGGGGGGTGGAGGGGTGGGGAATTGCCCTTCCTTTGTCTTTAAAGTGCATTTATGTTTCTTTCTATATAACCTCTGAATAAAGTGCCTCGCATTTATGTATGTAGTTGGGTTGTTTGATAATCTTATTGTTACTCATGCATTTCATTTTGTTTTGGTTGACCATCATAGTGTAGTTCACTATGACAGATTCACTCCATTATGGCTTCTTATTGTTGAAGGAGCGATCAGTACTAAGCCATATGGTGGTATGGACTCTTTTTGGAAGCTAGAACTAAATCATAATCAGTTCCATGATGAAGTGTTGGTACCAGTCTTACATTTTGTCTTTGTGGATCATGGAGTGAGCAGCACTGATGCAATTTTTGTGCAACTCATAGACTAGAAACCAAATTTAATAACATTGACTTTAGGAGAAGAGCGAGTTTTGAAGCTATAATTTTATTGTATTTTAGAATCTGAATGTCCAATGCTGCATTTATTGGGAATCGAGTAGAAGATTTATGGAGTACAAGGAGTATTCTTTTAGTAACAATTGTAGGGGTTTTGAAATTGCAAACCTTCTAAATCACGTAGTTCATTTTCCAAGTAGCATAGTTTGTTAACATGTAGCTTGCATGGAATCTCACTCTAAATAATTTGATTGTTTGATCAATAAGATTCAAATGTGAACGTGCGTAATTTGGATGGATGGTAATTTCAATTTGGTTTTCTTGAAGGCCTAGTAGAGTAGTAGAATGTTTTCTAATGTGTATTTGGTGTGGAAACGGGATTGAAATTTTTGAAACTAGATTAAAGTTGAAAAATTAAAAAATATATAGAGAATAATTTGATTAAAATGAATTGGATCATTGAAAAGTGTACTGACCTTTTGTTTATATAGGAAAACTAACTTCCTAATCGTACCAATACAAGGAAATTAGACTAAAAATCCTAAAAGGAAAGAAACTGAAGTCTTAAAAGGAAACAAAATCTGAATCTAAAGAAAGAAGAAACCCTATTCTAGTAAAAGAAGAAGAAGAAAAAATCCTATTCTAAATGAGAAAGAAGAATAAAATGAGATAAATTCCTATCAAAACAATAAATCCTATTATAAATAATAACTATCCATCCTATTTATAGGATTGTCCTATACCAATCTCTCAACTTAGAAAAATCTCTTCCTCAAGTTTGGTTGAAGAAGCGAGAAATAATTAATTAGGAGGAAGATAGTTAAGAATCTTTGACACATTGAATATATTTTTTTGAAAGGTAATCAAATATTTTATTAATTAATGTATAATACACGGGAAGTGTATTACAATTTGAAGCAGAAAAGAATAGCATAAAATTGAGCAGCCCATCTATAGGTCTAATAGTTGCAGCATTAAACCACGTATACAATGTGAAATAAAATAATTCTCTAATTTGCTTTGCTGTCTGTGGTTGATCATCAAAGCAGCGGCTGTTTCTTTCTCTCCACATACATCATACAATGCTACCCAGAATAAGGTCCCATGCAAGCTTGCAATTCTTGTCGCGAAATTTTCTTCTCCACGTCTTTAACACATCTTCCATACGCCTTGACATCATCTAATCCATGTGTTGTGATGTCAAAATATTGTGCCACAGTAAACGAGCAGCATCACAATGGAGAAACAAGTGATCAATCGTCTCCCTGTCCCTTCGGCACATATAACACCACTTTGTAACATAAAAACCTCTTGTTCGTGGATTATCCATCGTTAACACTTGTCCCCTGACCACCGTCCAAAGTAAGAATGCTACTCGTGGAGGTAGTTTACATTTTCACACCAATTTTCAGGGGAATGAACTCTGCACGAGACCTAATAAATAACTGAAATAAGTGCCAAATGAGAAAATCCCATCTCGTGTCAATCTCCACCTACTACAGTCTGCCTCTCCTGTCCTAATGTGGACCTCGTACAAAGAAGTTAAAAATAGTGCATGATCGTCAAATTCCCAATCCTGTAATCCCCGGCCAAAAACAATATTCCTACTGATTGAAGAGATTTCTATCTTGGTGTATTTTGTAAACATTGTCACCATTTGAAATTGTTTTGTTGATGTCAACTTTGCACTTTTCAACCTTTACGCTACAAGTTTAACTGGGAGGTTATTGAAAATTTCCAATAATCAAAGAACTTCTCGACCCTTTTAATTCATCGAGAAAGTCTCGACATGTAAATGGCCTTTGAGGGTTGGTAAGTCCGTCCTCAATTTAAATTTTTAGGCAAAGTCACCATGCCCAGAGTATGGGTGGAAAATTGATCAATTCATATACTTGGGAGGTCAGTTGTAATTATCATCTTCGTCCTCAAAAGAAAAATCAAATCCAATTTCTCTTTCACTCCACTGGTGCCCAATATGCACGAGTGTTTGGTTCGATGGCTGTTTGCTATCGTAAATTTGGGGCAATTCCTCTTCGCTGCCAAAAATTGCCCACAACTCTTCAAAGATTTTGACAACCATATTCCTCTAACGGAGGAGATGAACACCTTTTTGAAACCTTGCCGTCGATGATCGTAGATCCCACATTTGTGGTATTTCGAACTTCAAGTTTATGCGTTTAAACCTTAAGTGGTGCAACGTCCATTTGGCGATTGTCTTAATTGAGGTCTGCTTTTTCATAGTTGACGATAAGTTGTCGTTGAGAACCATCCATGTTTGAATTCAATGATAAGCTTAGCTAGGCTCTGTTGAACATCTTGAAGAGTAGTATCAAGCCTATATTTTCGAACCTCTATTTGTCGTTGATTGCTCTATCTCCACCAGGACCGTCCTTAGTCATCATGTTGGCAAAATCCATTTTTGATACCTAGTTCGAAAGCGAAATTAAAATTCTTGAAACAGAATAAAGTTGAAAATTTTAGAAGTATGTAGAGAATAATTTGATTATGATGAATTGTTTTATTAAATAGTATACAAAGCTTTGGTATAGGCAAAATAATTTCGTAGTTTTAACGAATATGAGGTACCAAAATCCTATAAGGAAAGAAAACTAAAATCTTAAAAGGAAAGAAAATTAAAATCATGAAAGGAAACAAAATCCTAATCTAAAGAAAGAAGAAACCCTATTCAATCAAGAAAGAAGAAATCCTATTCTAAATAAGTAAGAAGAAGAAAAAGAGATAGATCATATTACAACAAGAAATCCTATCATAAATATAACTAACTTCTATCATATTTGTAATAGGATAGTCCTATATCAGCAAAAAATCCTATTCTAAATAAGAAGAGAAAGAGATAAACTCTATTACAACAAGAAATCCTATTATAAATAATAACTAACTTCAACCCTCTTAGTAATAGGATTGTGCTCCATCAGCATTAGATTCCACAAGCGTATGTTGCATGAGGCATAAAATGAAATATTACCTGCATTATTTTCATGCATAAAGAAAATGTTGAAGTAGATTTTTGGATCTCAAGCTCCAAGCTCTTTTATTAAAGTAAGAGTTTATTCAATAAAAACAATTGGTTAATAGTAACTGTACATTCAAATAATATTAGATTTTTCTAGAAATGTACTAATAAGTATATCAATATTATTAAAGTGATTGATTAAAAAAAAAAAGAAAAAAGAAAAAAATAGATTTATATATGATTTTTATAGATATGGAAATAGCCTATGATGTGTTCTAGAGATAAAAAAGAAAATTCTATTATATATTTATATCAATATTATTAAGACCCATATGATGGAGATGGAGAAGGTTGAATGTGGGATGTTGCAGCAGAGATTTCCCTATCTCTGTAAGTTGCTCCAAGGTTTGACCTAAGTTTTCATCTTTTTGCCTTAGTTATGGATGGGCTTACATGGAACATTCATGACGAGGTCCCTTTCTGTATGTTATTCGCTGATGATTCAGTTTTAGTTGATGAGAGTAAAAATGATTAAAATTTCAAGTTAAAACTTTGGAAGGGTATTTTAGAATCTAAAGGTTTTAAGTTAAAAAAGAGGAGTTTCAGTGGATATATTGATAGGTGTAAAGCAAGTTTGATGAAATAGAGTGGTGCTACAATAGCACTATGTGTTAAGATCACCATACTCTTCATGGTACTGACTATTGAGCTAACAAAAGACAAAATGCCTATAAGATGAATGTCTGAAATAAAGATGCTGGGATGTGTAATCATACTAAAATGGATAAAAAGAAATGACAATATACGCCAACAAATGGGGGTGGCGCCACTTGAGGATAAATTAAGATAATAATGACTTGAGGGTGGTTGGGATGTATTTTGCATAGAGTTGGAGAGGCTCTCATTCATAGGGGTGATAATATTTCATTGGAGCATGTGTCAAGAGGGAAATCTGGAACAAGAACAACATGGCACATGCTAATTACATTAGATCTTCCTATAGTTCTGGCAGTGAATTAAGCACCGTGGCGAAAACTAACTCATATAACAGACTCCAAAATTGATTGGACTTAATGGTACTTACTAATAGGGTTTACATGTCTACAATTGTAATTGCATAATTATATATATGCTACTCTTCTGCAAGTGTAGTTGTTTGTGACAATGGCTATGCACTAGATCTCTTACTCTGTGTATAAAATGCCGGGTAAATTTGAATAGATGTTTTTTTTATTTGATTTTATCACATGCTAATATAATCACATTACCATTGATTTGTTCCTTTTTTGGTAAAATTATCCCAAGTGGGATGATGATTATTGTGCACTTCTCCCAAAATACTGCTTATTAACAATTGCTGTCTTCAGGCAATGTCTAAAATCCTACCATCCTTCTTGTGTGGGAAAGGATGATTCATTTTTGGATGGTGAAAGCCAGTGGAATTGTGGTAAGCCACCCGTGACCCCGACAGCTGGTGATCTGGATTCTTTGTCCCCTCTCTCTCTATTTTTATTTTTATTATTATTATTATTATTTTTTTCCTCTCCATCTATATACATATATCTACACAAATTCTACCTATTGTCCCATTGCCTATAAAGGCTTGGGACTAACCTAGCAGTTTTAATACATTTTTTCTTCATTCTTAAAATTTTTATATATGCAGACTAAACAATTAGAATTTCCATACTTTTTTTTTGAAAGGTAGAATTTCCATATTACTGATAGCCAATTTAAAGAATGGGCATGCATAAATGAAAAGTTAGTTGTGGTTCTTTCTATTAGCAGGATGAACCTTTTTCTCGTATTCTTTGGGGTGGGTGGTTGGGTGATGGATGCATATTAGATCAGGTTGAATGACCCACGAGCCTCTTATTAACTATGATTTTTATGGCTTTAAGGCATAGGAAAAATAATCGGAAAAGCGAAAGAAAGAAAAGGACTACAACATGGTGATAGCGAAGGGGCAACTCTAAGCCATTCCCCCAAACTAGCTAGCAAATATATATAACCAAAAATTGTTTGCTCATGGAATCCAAAGTTTTAGGTTGCATCTAGCTGTTAGTCTGAAGTCTGACCTTCATGTTCTTACATCAACATTTCCTACCCCATGCTATTTTTGGAAAGTTCTATAAATGCAAACAAACGCTTGGAAATTGACATCCAGTTCTTGTGGGTTTCACTCTCAAAATGGATTGGGTGCATTGTTTGTTAGATTCAATATCTTCTCATTGAATTTAATATCATCTCATATACTTTCTTGCGCACTTTATTCTTATTGAATATGTCAGATATAACAAGATGTGAACTTATATTATTGATTTTCAGATTGGCATATTTGCTCTCTCTGCCATAGACCTTCAGAATATCACTGTTTTACTTGCACCAGTGCATTGTGCCACCACTGCCGTCGTGCATCAGAGTTTGTACAATTTAAAGGCAAAAATGGATTCTGCTACAGTTGTCTAAAGCTTGTGGTCCTGATTGAAGAAGACATGAATTATGATTCTGACGGGGTATGGATCACATGAACTATGAATTGCGATATTGAGTTAAATTTTGGTCTTTAACCAGTTTTTTCTTGAATGCATCAATAAAGTTTTGTTTAACAGGGATCCTAATATATTAACTCAAGTTACTACATTATGCTTTCAACTTTGGCACAAGCGCCAGGTCACCCTGGGAAATAAGTGCACGATGCTTTGTCTAAGCATAAACCACTCTACTGTACTAACAGTTATAAGTGTCAGGTTTAAGTGATAGGCCCTGTCCAATTCTTTTTTATTCATATTTTTGCAAGATTAAGCAAGAAATTGGGAAATTCAACTAAACAAAGATTTATTCCATATCTGCTTAATATTGCTTAATTAATAAATATGCAAGATATGCCATTTGACTGGGCCCAAAACTAAAAGTCTGCTACTTTATCTACTGCAATTTGGTATACCATAACAGAATAGTTCCCAAGTTCAATAAAGCCACAGATGGCAAGTTGATCTGGTTCTCTAGTTTTGATGTGTTAAATGCCATATCTTCATATCTTGAACCTAATGCAAAATATGAATGCCAAGTTATATCAGATCACATTCAAATACAGTTTATAAAAAAATTATGAAAGGTCAATAAAATGTAGCATAACAATGTATCTTTGATCTTTCATCCACACTTTCTCGTGTTTAAAAGCATAGCTTCACTTCTTTCTATTTCCTGTCACCTAGTTGAGTGCACATCTTTCTGTGAGAATTGTGATACAAAAAAAATATAAAAATGTAAAAGGCCAAAAATGGAAAGAAAATAGAGAATAGAAAAATTGTAATTGGTAGGATGATTTATTTCCTTACTTAGCAGATTGTATTTTCCCTTTTTTCTCCCATACTTTGTAACATAAATAGGCTGTATTAGAGTTATAATTATCATCAAGAAATAAATAAAATTATTATTTCATTCTTCATGGTATCTGAGACAAGTTCTCCTAACCTAGCAAACCAATGGCGAATTCCCTGTCAACAGCAAAGAATCAATGACCTCTGAAACTTCTCATCCTAAAGCAAAGGCCAATCCTTTTATTGGCTTCAATAATCTTGCAAATTCCTCCTTCCAACTCACAGCAGAAAACTGAATGGAAGATATTTTCAAGAATGGGCCCAATTTATAAAATTGGTAATCAATGGACAAGGGAAATTGAATCACCTTATTGGCGATACAAAAAGGCCGACCGATGTTGCGAGTCTGTAGAAGTGGAAATTTGAAATTCAATGGTGATAGCATGGCTTGTGAATTCCGTGAAGCCTTTACATATAGAAAACTTAGTCGTTCCTTCCAACGGCCAAAGACATGTGGGATGCCGTGAAGGAACATACTCCGATTCTGAAGACTCGTCACAAATTTTTGAAATCAAAACTCGTTTGTGGTAAACAAAGAAAGGATCGAGGGATGTTACTGAATACTACATGGAGATGGTGTCCTTATGGCAGGAACCTAACCTTAGTTTGGAGGAAGAATGGGAGTGTCCAAGTGATAGTGGTACATGAAACAGGTTGAGAATGAAAGAGTATTTGAGTTCGTGGCCAGGCTAAACTGAAAGCTCAACGACGTCAAAGGCTGGATCCTAGTCCAGCATTCACTGTCTCCACCTGCGAGGTGTTTGCGGAGGTCGAACGAGAAGAATGATGGAGGTAGGTTTGTTTTAAAGAAAATAGGCATGCTAAACTTGGCCCAGGAACGGGATATTTTACAAGAAATGGGCTAGCAAGTCTTGGACTGGAAATGAAATAAACAGTGGGCCAGAAATTGAAACAAACTTTGGACCAGCAATTAAAAATGTTAGTATTGGACTTATCATCTAAGGGGATAGCAAGCAAGCCCAACCAAAAATTGCAACGAGGACGGTCGTGTTGTGAACATTGTTGCAAGTCGGAGCACAAAAAAGATACGTGTTAGGATATTTACGAGAAACCAGTTGATTGGAAACCAAAGCAAAACACAAGAAGTCAAGGATATCAAGCTGAGACAAACATTAATCCCACTCCATGTGGGACATTTTACTCATAACATTTGGAGCAACTCTATCAAAAAATTTCAAGTCTCCATACATCTGGTTAACCTTCCTCTAAAAGTTTTTCTAGTTCTCTGGACCGCAAAGATAACTTTTCTGAAAGTTATAAACACTTCATGACGTAAAACCCATTGGATTATTGATTCCGGTGTGTTCGATCACATTACAGACTCGTATCATCTATTCTTTTCATACTCCGCATGTGCTGAAAATATTAAGGTAAAAATTGCAGACGGGCCACTCTCATTTGTTGCTAGAAAATGAAGTAGTAGAATCTTTTGAGTCTTTAACATTAAAATCGGTCCTTCACGTCCCAAATTTGTCCTGTGACTTGTTATCTATTCATCAACGGACAAAAAATTTCAATTGCTCTGCTAATTTCTTTTCATCATAGTGTCCTTCGGGACCTTTCACCAGAGTATGAGCAACTCTACTACTTTGAGGAAGCTGATATGAGTAAGCTAGGTAAACTTTCAAGTTGTAATTCTACATTTCTTTCTAAGGATAGTAAAATTCTATAATGTCATTATAGAATGTGTCGTCCTAATTTACTATACTTGAAACGTGTACTCCCTTTTCTTTTCTTGTATAAAACACCAATTGAGCTTAATGTGAAAGTTGTGAATTTGCAAAATATTAGTGTACAAATTTTCCAAATTCCACATACAACCCATCCAAGTCATTTGCCATGACTCACGGTGATTTGTGAGACCTTGGCGATGCTAATCGTACTTATACAAAATGGTTTGTTATATTTATCGACAACCACACTCGAGTATGTTAGGTCTTATCTATTAAGGGAAAAAATTGATGCCCGCTCAATATTCATAGATTTCCACTCTATGATTTAAACTCAATTTCAAACACAACTTCAAATTCTGCGCACTGACAATGGCACAGAGTATTTCAATACCACTTTGCAAGACTACCTGAAAAAACATGGATAGTTTACCAAAGTTCATGTGTCAACACTCCCTAACAAAATGGGATTGTTGAATGAAAAAATAGACATCCACTGGAAATTGCTCATACCTTAATGTTCACTATAAAATGCCAAAAACATTCTAGAGAGATGCAATTCTAACATCTACATATCTCATGAGTCGAATAACTAGTCGTACTCTCTCTTTCGCACCTAAACAAAAGTTCCAAAAATACTTCCCTACTTCTCGTCTCAGTTTAAACCTACCCCTAAGAGTGTTTGGAAGCACTACCTTTGTACACATTCACCCCCATCATCGAAACAAATTAGAACCATGTGCAATCAATTGTGTGTTCACTGGATATTCATCCATTCAAAAATTCTACAAATGCCATGACTTGCCTCAAAAAGGTGTTTGTTAGCCTAGATATCACTTTCTTCGAAAAAACACCCTACTTCCGAAAACCTTCCCTTTAGGGAGGATAATCGAAGTGAAGATCGGTTATTGGACTAGGAGTTCTTAGACTTTGACCTCTTTCCCTTGTGAACCAATACAAGCCTTACCTTCTAATGAGTTATTTATAGAAGGTAACTTGAATTCAGGGGGAGATGTTGAAAAACAAAATGACAAGGAGATACTAGTTCACTCAGTGAAGCCTAAATCGAAGTATAAGGAAAATCTCATACCTTAGGTACTACGAGAGTCGAAATCGGTGATTGGACTTGATGAGAACCCCTCCAATGTATCTAAATCTCCAAATGACGATTTACCTATTGCTCTTAAAAAACAAACTCAGTCATGTACTCTCCATCCTATTTCAAAATTCATATCTTATAAAATTTTATCTACATGGTTTCGTGCTTTTACAGTTAACCTTGATGAAACAGAAATCCTAAGAAATATTCAGGAGGCCTTGGAATCACCCAAATGGAGAGATGCAGTAATGTAGGAAATGAGATCCTTGAAAAAGAATGAAACCTGGAAAGTAGTTAACTTAACAAAAGAAAAGAGACCTGTAGGCTACAAATGGGTCTTTAATGTGAAATACAGAACGATAGGACAATAGAACGCTACAAAACTTGTTTGGTTGTCAAAAGGGTTTAGTAAAATTTACAGCATCGACTACATAGAAATATTTGCACTGATGGCAAAACTAAATACAGTCAGAGTTTTCTTGTCCCGAGTCGTTAATCTAGACTGGCCACTTCAATAGCGGGATATTAAGAATGCAATCTTGAATGGAGAACCAGAAGAAGAAGTCTTCATGACAATACTACCAGGTTTCAATGAAGAAAACTAAGTGTGTAGGTTCAAGAAATCTCCATATGGTCTCAAGCAATCACTAAGAGTGTGGTTCGATAGATTTGCAAAGGTATTGAAAAATCAAAGATATCAGCAATGACAGATCATACCTTGTTCTTCCAACAATCTAAAGATGGGGTGAAGACAATTCTAATTGTATATGTCGATGAAATTATCTTAATTGGGGATAACACAGCTAAATGGAAAGACTAAAGAAATGCTTAGCCACCGAATTTGAAGTAAAGTATCTAGGACAAATGTGATACTTCTTAGGAATGGGGGTTGCAAAATCAAAGAAGGATATTAGTGTCTCCTAATGAAAAATATATTCGTGACCTTTTAATTGAAACTAACATGCTAGGATGTAAACCAAGCGACACACCTACTGAGGCAAGAAAAATAACAAAGGACTTCTGAAACTCACTGGAAACAGAGATATCAAAGACTTGTTGGTAAGTTAATCTACCTCTTATGCACTACACCTGACATCGCTTTCGCAATCAGTCTGGTAGGTCAATATATGCACTCTCCCAAAGAAGCTCACCTCGAAGCAGTGTACAAAATATCGATATATCCAAAAAGCACCTTTGAGAAAGGATTATTCTTCGAAAAATAAAAGGGGGTAGAAATATTCACAGATGCAGACTGAGCTGGATCAACAGAAGATAGAAAATCTACTATTAGTTATTGTACTTTTGTTTGGAGAAATTTGGTAACTTGAAGAAGCAAGAAATGGAATGTAGTGGCAAGAAGTAGTGTTGAAGTTGAATTTAGAGCTGTTGCACAAGGGATATGTGAAGGACTATGGATAAATAAACTCTTAGAAGAACTATATGTCGAAGTTGAATTTTCAATCAAACCCTACTGTGATAAGTGATAACAAAGCAACCATCAACATTTCTCTCAATTTAGTTCAACATGACATAACCAAACATTTATAGGTGGATAGATATTTTATCAAAGAGAAGGTTGAAGATGGAATTATTTGTGTGACATATGTCACTACAAAAGAGCAAACTGCGGATATCTTCACCGAATGATTGCCACGACAAGTTCTCAACTACTTCAGCTGTAAGTTGAACATGATCAATAGCTACAATTCAACTTGAAGAAAAGTGTAAAAATCGAAACTTGAAAGAAAAAAGAGAATGGAAAATTTGTAATTGATAGGATAATGGGTAGGACGATTTATTTCCTTACTTAGCAGATCGTATTTTTCCCATTTTTCTCCCATGCTTCGTAATATAAATATGCTGTATTAGAGTTGTAATTATCATCAAGAAATAAAGAAATTCTTTCATTCTTCAAAAATAACTGTTGCAAAGTTGCATGGTCATCAACACATTTGGGACCTTCACAAGTTGTGAACACTTGGTGAATCATTCACTTCACTTCCATCGTACTTCTCTCTCTCTGTCCCCTTTCACAAATTTTTCGTTCTAGGACTTATCTTGGACACTTGTCAGTGGATTAAACTTTCCATAGTTGTTCCATTTCTCTTATATATTAGCGGTGTTGTTCTGAGCACGCATAAGAAGGTGAAATGGAGTGTAGATACGAAGAGAGAGATCCGATCGAGAGATTTATTCTTGAGGGTCTCTAATCTATTTGTAAGGGATATCCTTTGCTGTAATTGTTGAACCGAAGAAATTAGTGTAAGAGTAATGACAGCTGAAAGTAAAGTAACCAAGATTAAAAATACTCCAAACACTGTTGGAGCCAAGATTTATTAAGGAAAATCTGGAAAAAAGCCTTTAAGAGGGTTCTAGATAAACTTTCAATAATATTGATGATAAAACTGATCACAAAGTTACATTCTTGACTCTAAAAGTAAAAAAAATGACTTCTTGACTTCAGTAATGAGTCTAATGACCCTTAGAATACCCAAACTTCAAATAAATTAATCTAGGAAAACTAATGGACTTCCTTGACTTCACAACACAATTAATTGAAACAAAGACTTTGTATAAAAAATAGATCATGACTCTTTGAGACTTTAACTAAGACTAAACTTAATTTGCATCAAAGAGTCTTCAAGGGCATCTCAACTGGGATGTACCCCAATTTGTGGCAAACCTTGGTAAATCCTGTTATTCTTTATTGCTTTAGTTTCTTTTCTCCGTTGGATTTTGTTCAATTTGGTTATTGCCTAACAGTATATCATACAGCAGTTCGAGTGCTATCTAGTAGTGTTCACACGCCTTTCTAACACAGATAACTCTTTTATGTTTATGCAAGAAACATTTAGAACCATACTTTCATTCTGTAGCTCTACATGGTAAATCTATGTTAAAATTGTGGGCAACCTTCTTCTTTGTTCTTTTCTTTTATGGATTTTTTCCCCAAATGAGTTGATGGTATTGAAAAAATGTTGGAGACCTAGATGCTTGTTTTATGCTTCCTCTGTCCTCGTATTCGTTTCTTTCTTCAATTGTATTTGTCCATATTCGCATCTGGATTTGGCTCTCATCTAAATGATTGTTGTTTTCCAGGAGAAGGTAGATTTTAAAGACAGAGAAACATTTGAGGGGTTGTTCATGGAATATTATGAGATCATTAAAGAGAAAGAACGTCTAAATATGAAGAATATTCGTTCATCACTAGATAGGCTAAATAAGAGAAAGAGCTACAAGTCTGATTCTGATTCAAAAGAATTTGCTGAAGATCATGAAGAAGAGAGTTCTGATAGTGAGGACAACGATTATGGGAAGAATTGCTTGAACCAGTACAAGAAAAGGAAAACTGAGAGATCCAATTCCAATAGAGAGGAGTTTATGGGCTGGGGTTCCCGATATCTATTTGAGTTTCTTGCTTCGATTGGTAAAGATACTAGTGTAGCTCTATCGCAGCATGATGTACTTTCCATTATAAATGATTATGTCAAAGAAAATAAGCTTTTTGATCCGAAGAACAAGAAAAAAATAATATGCGATGCCAGTTTAAAATCTCTTTTTAGGAGGAGGACAATAAATAAATACAGAATATATGATCTTCTGGATACCCATTTTAAGGAGAACCAAGATGAAACCGAAGAGGATGAACTTGGGAATAATTCGGAAGACAATGAAGCCAAAATCTCTGTTGCTTGTAAAAGGCAGAGAAAGCAGGATGCTGTGAAAAAATCCCAGACAGATGGGAAAGTATATGGTGCCCCTCGAAGTTATTTCGCATCCATTATAACTGACAATATGAAACTCGTCTACTTCAAGAAAAGCTTGCTATTTGAGCTATTTGAGCAACCTGAATCATTTGAAGAAAAGGTGATAGGAAGCTTTGTTAGAGTCAAAACAGACCCATATGATTACAATCAAAAAAATTCTCATCAGCTCGTGCAAGTCAAAGGTCAGTTGAGTATATTCTATATAACCTGATACTGAACAAGTTTTAGATGAACTTTTGCATTGTTACTGTACAGTGCATGCACCCTTGAGAGCCCTGTGCATGATTATTCCATGGTAACTGAAATTTAAGATCTTGCGAGTAATGATAGTTTGAGTTTTAATGAAGATATTAAGATTTGGAGTGTGTTTCTGGAAACAGGTTCCGTTTTAAGTTGAATACTTGAGTGAAAGAGCAAGTTAATTTCATCAAGTAAAATATATAATTTAAGAGGATGAGGAATACATCCGACTTAGAAGATTGGATGTGGAAATTAAATCTGCTAATGAAATAGTAAAATACAAGAATGAACAATCCATTGACTCCTATTAGAAATGCTGTATAAGAAAATTGATATAGAAATTATTGAATCAAGTTGAGCTGAAGCCAATGGGAAATAAAGCATTTGATCATGATTTGGTTTCTTTGAGCTTCATTTGTTATTTAGTTTCATCAATTATCAACATACCCTTGTTGGAAAAAATTTGACTGGAGCCTCTGAAAATTTTGAAGCATTAAAACTAACAAGCTTTGACTAAGCATGCTTGAAGCTCAAGGCACCTATCTACTTTTGTCAATTATAAAGAAAATATAGAAATTATCAGTTCATTTATAAATCGGCTTTATTATTGTCATTTTTCATTTGGAAAAATTAGTAAGCAAGTGAAAAGTCAATAATCATAGCTCTTTTCTCAAATTTCCTTAAAACTGGAGCCTAGGTTATTGGCGTGTGTATTCTCCAAATAATTGACTTCTTGATACTTTCTACTGTTAATATGTACTTTCAGGTATAGAAAAGGTTTCAGTTGGTGAAAACAATACTGATATCATCCTTAAAGTTTCATCTATGCCAAATGAAATTCCCATGAAACTGCTGTCTGATAATGATTTCTCTGAGGTAATGAAGTTGATCTGAAATTCTCTGAGTGCCTGTTTGGTACACGGTAGAGGATAGGATTCCATTACAACGAATAAGATTTAAGCTTCCTTTTCTTCCTTAATATTCTTAAGTACTATTCAATTTTTCCTGCCTGACATGCCATGAATTGTTTGTAGTTTTTGAATAGCATAGGTTTTATACTGATAATGATATGTTTAAAGAGCATGCGTTCTTCCCTCTCTCTTTCTTTGTCAACAATGACAATACTTACAGCACAGGGATGAGTATTGTAACAGTGAGATTATTTGATGGAGGACATCATCCAAATGAAATAAGTTTGACAACCATTATTTCAAAACTCTTTATGCTACATACTCATTTTCAACCACATATTCACACAATAAAATATTGTACACATAAATACAAAATCTTTGCTACTTTTCAACAAATATTGTGCACGTAAATACAAAATCTTTGCTACTTTTCAACCACACATTTGCCAATTTTTCACTATTTAAAATCTTGTTTTTGCCAAATAATGGTTATCGAATGGGGGCTAAACATTTCAAGTCCAATAATTGGTGCCAAAATGTTACCATCTAATCAGAATAGATTGACTCTCAACAATGAGAATTTTTACAGAGCATGGATGGCATACAGAGAATATTTTCAGATTGATGGCAGCAGAAGAGATCTGTGCCATTTTCTTTTTTGTCTTTTCCTTCTGTTTATATTAAAAGCACAAAAGAAAGCAGATTTCTTTTTCAGTTGGGTAGTATCTGTGCAAGCATTTGGTTTGCCTGAAAGTGTGGTGGGACTGAATTTTAAAGGACCCAAGTATGCAATGTCCCGCAGGAAATCTCGTAGGCTGAAAAATGGGAATGACTCCTGCTTTACTTTCTGTCAAGTGATTTCAAAATATACCATTGTAGTCTTCTCAATGAATCTCGATGTCGTCTTTCCTTTATTTTATTTAAATAGTATCATAAAAGATTCTGTCCCGGTTAGTTTTAAATTTTGTGAAAGAAAATGTTTGGTAGCACATTTTATGGTATTCTTCCCATCCTTAATTAGATCAACATCAGAGTTTAACCCCCTTTTCAGGAAGAATGTGAAGATTTGAGAAAAAAAGTGATGGACGGCCAGCTCGCGAGGCCTACAGTGGTGAGTACCATCGTACCTTCAGTCAATAGATCTATTACCATTTCTCTTGGAAAATGTTAATGGTCATGCATTTTATTTGTACATGTACCCCGCAATTTAGCCTCTTTGAGTATAAAATAATTGAATTGACACCCAAATCAGCAAATGATTATGGATACTGATATCTGTGAAAATTATTGTCTTGCTTCCCCATGTCAACAGTGGAATGTTTATTAATTCTAGTGGGATATATTCCTCAAGCTTTATATATTGATTAAGTTCTACTGACAAAATTTTAAATTTAATAAATTCCTCTAGGAAAATTAGGTAGTCCTGCAGAGTTTTCAAGCTTTTCGAGCGAAGCCTTAATTATTGCACACTTCTAGAGCAGCTTCTGTTAAAAATATGAAATAAAATTTCTTCAAAAACAGACATGCACTTTGTAGATCAGAAGAAAATAGTTCTTTGACAGATCTACACGGTTACACTCGTCATACATTGTCTTATGTAAATGACACTTGATTTTCTGGTTTGAACCATTCTCATGCATATATTAATATGGCTTTGGTTGAATACACCATTAGTTTTCTTGTTCATTCAGTGCCTGGATATACTTGTTTATTTTATTTTGTTTTACAGGTGGAGTTTGAAAGGAAGGCCAGAATTCTTCACAAGGATATAACAAAGCATGTATGCTTTATGTTTTGATGTTGCATTTATAAGTTCCAATAATTGCTTTCCAGTGATTTCCTGCCACAAAGTTTTGGATACTAATTGTGTTATTATTCAGTATTTTCTGAAGTTGGTAAATAATTTAAAACCCAGATAGTAAATTATGTGTTATTTGGCTCTTGTGTCATGACTATCCTTAGAATTTGATGCTTCTAGCTTTAAATATGTTATATATCAAACAATTTTAAGTAAATTTCCAGTCAAATGTTTTTTATTTTTTGCATTCTATTGATCTGTCATAAATATAATTTATTTATCATTTGCGTTTGGTATCTATTTTGCATGCCATATCAAACAAATAGTTTTTTATTTGTTACATAAATGTTGTTGTTTACTATTATGGTGATTCCCTAAGTATAAATTTTATTATAACATTTCAATGTAGCATTGAAATTCCTTTTTGCCTTTGTAATTGCATTTGCTCATCTTTAATACAATGCAGTGGATTAGTAGAGAGCTGGCTTTGTTACAAAAACTCATTGATCGAGCAAATGAGAAAGGATGGAGACGCGAATATCCTTTTATGATGTAACTACATTACAGGAAACTGGCTTGCATCTAGTTCATGAATTACTCCTGTTTGGCTGTGAATCTGAAATAATTTAGTAAAATATTGGGGGTTTCTTACAGGCTTTTCAAGAAACACCCTTTATAAAACATATGGTGTCAATTGTGAATTACTAAAATGCTATTTACTATCCCTTTAATTTTTCTCATGAGCAATTAGTCTTACTCTTTTTTTTCATTTTTGAGATAATCCACCTTTATAAGATAGTGTGGAAATAGGGAATAAGAATAGACACCAATAGGTTAAAGGTGGCACTAGTTTTGAGTATTTATTAAGGAAAAGACTATTAGGTGGTTGGTGTGTATTTTACATAGACCTAAAAACTCTCATTCATGAGAGTGAATGCAAGTCCATTAGATTAGAACATGTTAAAAGAGGCTATAGGTGCAAATGATTTGAGTTCACTGGATCTTCCATTAGACATAGCGAAAAATTGAATAGAGTGGGAAAAAATGATTAATGTAGCAGATTCCAAATTTATTGTAAATAATGGTTAGTTTATTGTAGAAACCTAGAAGTTGTGGGGATTTGGTACGAGTCCTTACTGATATACTAAGTTATTAAGGATCATACAAGGGGAAGCAGAAAATGATTGTGACCTTAACCTTCATCGCTTCTACGCTTTTTGAATACTTGGATAGGAGAAAGAAGCTTCAAACACCTTCTGAACAATCACGGTTGCTTGAAAATGTTCCCACGGTGATACCGGATCTAGAATATATTTCTGATGATAGCAAGAATGGCATAAAATTCGATAAAGGCTCTTCAAAGTCAATTCTTCAATGTAGTTCTACTGTTCCCAATGGTGGGCCAGAGGACAACCGAATTTCAGGTATGGTAGATGATAGTTTTTGAGTAATTTGCTCTATATTTTTGGTATGAATGTCATGCCCTGCTTGTCATACTCTTAATGAAACTTAAAAGGAAAAAAAGTAAAAAAGGTAAAAAATCTGATGCAAATGATACATTTAACTTTGATGTAAAATTTCTGCTCTAGTTGATCTTGAAAATTCATAATTTGATCCTTTTGGTGGCTCAGTTAATATTACCTGTTAGAACATTTGACCTTCTTTTTCCTTACCTCTTATTTACATAGAACATATTATGGCAAGTCTTTATACAACAAATATGGCATGTATTCATAGGGAAGATGTGGTAGGGCAGTTATAACCTTCATATTTTGGTTATTTCTAACCTATATATAGCATCTTCCACTTTGTAATTATAAAAACAGTTTTACACATATTCTGTTCTTTTTTCGTACCCTTGCTCAATTAGTTTTACTTAAAAATTTAACATCGTCAGAATAGAAGGCTGATGGATAAGGAACATAGAATTTAGGATTGAAATCAAAAGATTCATAGCTAAATTCTGTTATATCTTTAGTTCAGAATAAGATGTCAGCATTATAGTTCTATTTTATACTCATGTAATTTAGTAATTAAGTCCTAGCTTTTACAGTTCGGATAGGGAAGTCATCAATTTCTCAATTGTAGGTGGTCTGGAATATAGACCTTCAAGTACATAAATATTGGTTATTTTTTATTCTTGTGCTAAATTTTCTAGGATATGGACAATCTCAAAGATATATGATAAAGATTGCTAGGGGCTTTTGAACCCCTCACACTCTTCTATTTTTTTTTTCTTTTTAAAAAAGTAGTTATTTCATTCATCAATATACGAACAAAGAATTGGAAGGATGCGACATTCTCATCGAGGACAAGAATTATTAGAGAAAGTATGTCCACATCTCTATTCCTTGATGCTTATGTAAAAAATTAGGATCTTTGACCAAAAAGGCTTCAAGTCTGGAGGTTGTTACTCAGAGGCCATTCTAATGGGTAGTTTCAAAGATTCTTTATATGCGTTTGTGTAAGATCAAACTAGTTTGGTTTTTAACTGATTGAATAAGGACAAAAATGTCGAAGATAAGATTTAAATGATATATTTATGGCCTTCTTTCATGGCTTAAGCTTTTAGATCAAGTGGTTCTAAATCTCTACCACTGAACAAGATTCATTGAACTTCACAGAGTCCTTAGAGATCAAGGACAAGAGGCTCAAGGCGCCTATCACCAAGGTTTATTCGAGAAGGAGAAAACTTGAAATCAACTCACATGATCCAAGAATTGACCCTGAAACAGGTATTTCAATTAACACTCAGAAATTTGATTCCCATGATGACTTGAAATTACTTGACGTAAAAAAGCTTTTAGGACTTGGTTCATCATCCTATATCTCAGTTTTTTCCTTTTGGCACCTCTCACCTCATTTTGAGACTTTTGCCACCCAATGTCTACACATCAAGTTCCTAAATATGTCGAAGAGGCTTTTGACTAAAGCCATGAATGGAGGCCATGAATGAGGAGATGAGAGGCTTAGGGAAAAAAATAAAACCTAGGAAATAGTAAAATTGCCAATTGGGAAAAAAAGTGGATTAATGAATGGATTTTCACTTTCAAGTACAAACATGATGGATTTCTAGAAATCTACAAAGCCCGCTTGGTAGCAAAAGGGTAATACCCAGACATATAGGATCAACATCATGAAATCTTTGCTCTGATTTCCAAGATGAACATATACAAATCCTTCTTTTATTGGCCACAAACTTTGACCTGCCACTATTACAGTTTGACCAGAAAAAAAAAAGAAAAAAAAAAAGAAAGAATTCCTCCATGTGAACGGAGAGCAAAAAATGTACGTGGATGTTCCAGTCAGATATGAAAGAGAGTCATTGTCAAACAAGGTATGTAGGCTTTGAAAGTCCTTATATGAACTTGAACAGTCCCTTTGAGCATGGTTTGAAAGATTCAGGAAAGCTATGCTAAAGAGGATCATATATATATTCAACACACCATCACAGGTGTAGGCTAGATTCAATAATTTTATACTTCTGCTAGTAGACGATCTCTCATTAAGGGTGCGCAGTTCCAATTTGTTTGGCACTTGTCAACAACCAAGAACAAGGTGATACATTGCAAAATCGAAACATGAATAAATTTTTAAATAACAAAAGCGACATCCATTTCTTTTTTCATTTTGTGTGTGTAGGAGTATCTAAATGTTTAACCTTTGCTTCATGCTAGAGCATTGGTAATTCACTGCTATGATCTCCATGTGGCATTGCCATCATTAGGTGGTGAAGTTGCTAATTTCCAGAGTTTGTTTACTTCTATAAGTCTAATCTTGCAGAAAACAAAAAATAAAAAAATTATATAGCTTAGGTAAAATGATGGACTTTATAGAACCAAAAACTCTGCATCCTAATGTATCGGAGAATACAAACTTAAGTTTTCACAAAAAAGAATTAATTGGAGAAAAGTAGTAACATAGAGATTAAGATTTACAGATGAGTACAAGTCTTACATCCTAATCTGAAGAATTTTATTCAAACTATCTGACCGCTCTCATCCTTATAGCCCTGCCGAGTTTCGTTATTTTACTCGTATTAAATCATATTTTTTTGTACTTCTAGATATAGAAAAATGTGAAATCGTTAGGCATGGGGATCCTCATTTCTACAGGTATATTTATGATATCTATCCTGTTTCTATGCATCCACTTCCACTGTCTCTCTTTGCCAAGGATATTCCTATTTAAGTCCCAAGGACTGCAAAAGTACGCCTTTTTCCATGAAATTTGGTTCCTGAACTTCAATTTGCCATAGTCTATATTTACATATTGGCAATCATGACCGTGAAAGTTAAGTCTGTAATCTGGTGCAATATGATTCAAGTTCTGGAAATAATTACATTTTGCATGTGGATTATTGAGTATGCATACATTCTTTAATTTGTTTCTCCTCTCTTTATGTTCTGAATATCTGTTGCCGGCTTTTCTTAACATGGATGTGTGTATAGCCACTAGTATAATCTGTAGATGTTATAGTTTTGCTTTTGAACTTTATTAACATGTATCATTTCTGCATTTCGTTTCCGGTTTTTACGATTCTAGGTGCTTTAATGTGAAGTAAAACTTATTTAGTAAAGCACTTTATTTTTATATTGGAGGAGAAATATTATTAACCCCATTTAACAAAGCTTTTTCGAGACTATAAGCTAGTCAAACTTCAATTTTAACCACATATTTCATGAGACCCACCAACTTATAATCTCAAAAAACTTTGTGAAACAGTGGCTAAATCATGTATCTACATTTGTAAATTCTTTTCCCCATAATTTTTCTCAACTTAGTACTTTCAAAATGAGGTAAAATTAACTTGTTGTGGCAATATAGTCACAGGAGAGAAGCTTAATCATAATCGTGCATCAGCTTCAGAAAAAAAGCAACATCTTGCGGAAAGATCTGCCTCGAGAGAACCTGTGCAATTTGCTTCAGAAAAGAAAGAGATTAAATTAGAGGCCTGTCATTTTAAAGAGATGCCAAAGAACTCGCCACAAGGTATGTATGCTGTAATTACAGCAGATAAAACCCCAGAGGTTAAGAGCATTGAGGTGATTGACTTGGTTGGTCATTGACGACAAAGACGAAGATGATATGGACATCAGTTGTGCTATTACGAACAGGAAGTAAGTAATATTACTATATGGCGACGGCTCCCTGCAGCATTTGCTTTGGAAAACGTAATGCTTTTAGATAATAACGAACAAAATCAGTCGAGAAGCTGAAAACTTCTCTTAAAGAACTGCCTGCAAGTTGTGTTTATAGCATCGTTTGGAGGGTCTATTTTATGGGTGAATTTGTAGGATGTATTACCAACTTGGTTAAGGTACATATTTTCTGGTAAAGGTACATATTTTCCTTTTTCATTTTTCCTTGTTTGGGTTCTACCATCTTTGCTTGGTTCTGAATATTAATCTCTACCATATCCAATACAACAACCATCAAAACTTGGCGTGGACTTACAATCATTATAACAGCTGAAAAATCAATAACTTTACTTCTGATAGAATTGATTGAACATTTTGACACTCATTATAAGGAGAAAGTAGAATTTTGAATAGTGATTTTTAAGAGGATGTATGGTTAAAAGGTAGGAAAAATTCTGGATTTACGTGTAAAATATTTTATTGCGTTTATGTGTGCTTGAAAATGAGCATGTAGAAAAAAGAGTGAAAATAATGGTTTTCAAACAGGGGCTAAAAATTTACAACTATTGATTTAAAATTTCAGACAGCCGTTTGAGTTATTATCTCAAAAAACATGGTAAAACCAAGAGGCTACTGCTGAAATAATGTTTCTAACAACAAAGGAATGGGAAAAATTCGCAATAGCTTCCAATAATAACTGATCATTAAATTCTTTTTGGTGAATGGTAACTGCAGCTTAAAAGTTGTTTTCCAAGCAGCCACTGGACTTTGATTTTTTAATTTTTTTCAATAGTCATTGTACTTTTAAAATGGTTTCCCGGCAATCATTGAAGATTTAATTAATTAATTTATTTTCCTAAATTGCATTCGTAGATATAATAAATAATTATGATTGCTGTGTCGTTGAAATTGTTGATGCGAAACATAACTTTGCAGATTGACTATTTGATTATTTTCGAATTTCAATGTTTATTGAGAAACAAAGCTTTTGTTTGGCACTTTCTTAACTTGTAAACATAAGCAGCCAAATTTACATTTTATACACAAATTTAATGAGATCAGCAAGTACTAATCACTTATTTAATCAATTATCTATACCCAAACGAGAAGAAAGTAAAAATAGTGGTGACAATTCGAATTTTTAATGAAAACAAGGGATGTGCTTCCAACCTTTTATGAAGTGTAGCTCGACTCTCTAACCTTTAAAACTAAGGTTTTGATTTTGACTTTTTAAATGGTCAAAATAACAGATTCCGTTAGGTGGGGATCTAATCTCACAAGATTGAATAGGTTGGGGAGTCAAAATTTTCGTTTTGAAGGTCGAGGAGTCAATTCCACACTCTATGAAAGGTTAGGGAGCCTAGCTCTAATTTTTCCATTAATTTAACCCGTGACACTATACGCATACATGCATTTCAAGCGATGTTGTTGTTGAGAGGATGAAAAATAGCTTTATTGTTATGAACTAGGAGAATACAAGAATAAGAGGAGGGGATAAAGAGAGTTGTCTTGCTTGTATCTAACTACACTTTAAAAGAGAGAACGAGCTCGTTACTGTTCATTCTAGTGTCGAAGTGTTCATATTAAACCTGTTCCTAATTGGTTCCACGCTATTTATCCAAAATATCTTCCTCATTGTTCATTCTATTGTTTATTAACAAAGAAACCCTATCAGTAGCCGACTCCCTTCTTTGTTGTCCGATTTGGTGTTATTGACTCGTCGAACTTGGGGCAAAAGCAATGAGCGGACTTTTACCGTTTCTCTTCAACCTAATTTTACTCTCTCTCTCGTGCGAAATAGTCACCGGACAAACACTTGAGCTCCGACACCGCCGGTGACACTTTTCCAGTGAGTTCTTTACTTCGCAGTGAAATATTAGCCACTTTCCTGTGCTTATTACATGCCACAACTTCAAATTTTCCACTGCATGGATCCCCATCACTAACCCATGATGATAAGTACTTATTTTCTGGGTGTAAAGATGATTTTATATCCATTAATGCTCTCAATTTTGCATTTCCACAACTGGGTTTTATCAAAATAGGTGCAAATGCAATCAAAGGCCATTTTCTGGGTTTGGTTCAGAACAAAGAATTCAAATTCAACAGCTTTGTTTTTTTTTTTTTTTTATATCAATTATTGATCTTATTTCACAGTGTTTAAGTGAAAGGATTTGGACTTTTGTGACTTTGGATTCTGCTTTGATTGCCTATTCTTGGTGTGAGAAGAGTAGGGTGAGAGGACTAACTGTGGGAAAGAGTTCAAAAGTTGTCAGATTGTACGATTTTTTAGCGTATTGACACATGCACTCACATTCTCAATTTAAATTATCAAATTTATTTTCTTATTTAGGAACATTTCTGGAGTGAATGCATTTTATTATTTCTTATACTTTTATTTATCAGATTTCTCAAAGAGAAGTAGAATTTTCATAAAACGATTGTTTTGATAAAAAGATTATTTAACTTTTTCTTTTAGTTTAAGTTTATATGATAACAACGTACTATTATGTATCTAGGCTTTCGGAAAGGATGACAAAACTATGCTCCCAAGAAAAGAATTGTTTAGGATTACTATTAGAGTATTAGAAAGGCAACCTCTGCATGGAAACGAATGATTAAACTCTGTCTATTTCTATAATTGCATCATTTTACTTTCTTGAATATTTGTTTTCATCATTTTTTGTCCAATGTTAATATATATATATATATATTTTTTCAGAATCACCTTCTTCTTGTTAATCTTTTTGTTCAAATTTTTATTCTACAGGTTGTATTTTTAAAGAGTGCAATTCATGTTATGTAATTATTACATTTTTACACAATATGCACTATTGCATATTCTATTGTTTACTCTTCCTGCATGCATATGAAACAAATTTTCTAATAGTTTTTGTTTCATTTTCTTGTTTGTATTGCTTATCTTGGAATTCCATTGTACGATAGTCTCTTCCACTCTTGCAATGGATATTTTAGAAACATCTACTCATGAAGACCTTGCCTTTGTGAAAATTGACATTGTATCTCATTGTGGGAAAGACTCATACAACACCTTCATTCGCCAACAACAAAGTCAAAGAGAAAGAGATCAGTGAAAAAGGCTTAGAACTGGGTGTATTGATCAGTGTAAAAGGATAAATGAGCCAATGAATTTGGGAAATAATTCTTTTGTTGTTCCCGAATTGCATGAATTTATAATGCATCACGATCCTGATACTTCTACTTCAAATTAAAAAAAAAACATGATATTTGTAATTTTGAATTAGAAGGAACTCTTAATGGATTGAACATGTCATCTACTGCTTATATATTACCAACACCCATCTATTGTAAGCATTGTAATGCCCATAAATTTTATAAAGAAACTAAAGGTTTTTGTTGTTCTGATGAAAAAATCAAGCTTTTCGTACACGACTTACCAAGTGAATTATATAATTTATTTACTTCTAAAGAATTGGGCTGCATGGAATTCAAGAAAATTGTAAAGAGATATAATAATCATTTTGCTTTCACTTCATTTGATGTAAAATACAATAAGGACCTCTTTAAAGCGTATAAAGGTATTTACACATTTAGGGTTGAAGGACAAGTACATCATTATATAAATCAACTTGTGCCCTAGAACAATACGTCTTCTTATATGCAATTATATTTTTACGATACAGATAATGAAGTTCAAAATCGTATGAAAATATCATCTAATTTTATTAAACCTACTTTGATTATTTTAATTGAAATTTTGAAAACAAATCCATATAGTAAATTCTTTAGGTCTTTATGTGATATGACGAACTTGCATGACCATCGAATACAAATATGATGCAATCCTGGACTTGGTCAAAGAATTTTCAATAATTCTATTTCTACCACATCTCAAGTAGCTGTTATATGGGTTGAAGATGATGAAAATGCTAATGTTCATATTTGCGATATTACTATCTATGGACATTCTGGTGATTCACATAGAGTTCATTACTATTATGGGTGTTATGATCCATTACAATATCCATTACTCTTTCCACATGGGGAATCCAGTTGACATGAAGGCATTCAAAGATACAGAAGCAGATATTAAAAATGAGAATCGAGGTTTGCAAATGTCCCTTTTATATAGTTATATATTTTTTGCAATATAAATGTTCTAAATGAGTACTGAAGTTTGCTTTTTTCTCATTATGTGGTACTAAATGGAGCGAACAAAGGTACTCAGGTCTCATGCCGAGAATATTATTTGTACAAATTACAAATCAAGTCTTCTGATAAGTCTGTTTTGCTTCATGCTAGTAGGTTATTGGAACAATATGTTGTAGATATGTATGTTAAGATTGAAACTGCTAGATTAGATTATTTTCGTAATAATCAAAAATAAATTCGTGCTGAACTTTATCAAGGTATTGTAGATAGCGTTCAAAATAGGGAAACAAGAGGGTGTAAAATTGAACAAAAATTTGTTTTACTACAATCTTTTACATGTGGTCCTCGTGACATGCTAATGAGATACATGGATGGAATGACTATTGTACAATATTATGGAAAATCAGATATATTTTTAACTATAACATATAATCCAAATTGGCCAGAAATTAAACAGGAACTATATAACAATATGAAGTTCAAAATCGCCCGAATTTAATTGTTCATATATTCAGAGCAAAATTAGAAGAGTTGAAACATGATTTATACAACGAAAGTATTTTAGGCCCAGTTGCTGCACATATATATGTTATTGAATTTCAGAAAAGAGATCTTCATCAAGCTCATTTGTTGTTAATTTTCAATTCAATACATAAAATTTCTTGTGCCGAAAAAGTTGATAGAATAGTTTGCTGTGAAATTCTTGACAAAAACAAATATCCCCATCTACATTCTGTTATCGTTAAACATAATATGCACGGTCCTTGTGGAAACCTTAATCCGAAAAATATTTGCATGGAAGCAAATAAAGGCTGTAAAAATAAGTATCCTAAGAATTATTGTGAGAGAACTATATTTGGTCAGAACTCATATTCATTGTATAAATGTCGTAATAATGGTATTTCTATTCAAGTTAGAGGCCAAATGTTAAAAAATCGATGGGTCGTACCTTACAATTCTTATTTAAGTGCAAAATTTGATTGTCACATTAATGTTGAAGTATGTTTTTCTATTAAAGTCATGAAATACTTGTACAAATATGTGTATAAAGGACATGATCGTATTAATTTTTCAATTCATACGAACGAA